TTAAGTTGGCTTTGGTTTTTAATCAAGTCTTGTAAGATTCGGCATGAATCCTAATGACCTCACTGAAATTAAAAACTCTCATTAGCTCTCACCTGTTTCTCACCATCTATACCTAACACTTTCCATCCAGGAATTGGGTCAAATCCATATAAAATTTATGACCTATTTACGTTTTAACCTTACTTTCTCAAATAATACCTCAAAATAATCCCACTTTTCCTCAACTTTGCTGCTTAGTCCCCATGTCATCCATTGTAGCTCCACAAAAGCTTCAAATACTATTGCTAATAGCCTACTAATAATTTTTATTGATAATATATAATATAGCCTAATATAATATAATATAATATAATAATTAATAAAAAGGTTCAGATTCACTACATCACATACATCCTTATATAAAACAACCAAATTAAGTTTTTTTCTTAAATTATAAAACCACAAATAATACCACTTTTCCCTATTCACCCATTAAAGCTCCACTCTGGTAATACTAGTACTGCTTGTAATAATAGTAAAAAAAAAAGTACTAGTAATAATACTAATATTAGTAATATAAATGTTTTATATTAACTTTTATTATAATATATTACAATCTAATACAATTCATATTAAATTATATATTTATTATAAATATATACATATATCGTAATTTGATTTGGTACATCACATATAATCTTACATATAAGAAACAAATAAAGTTTTTTTTCTCAAATAATACCACAGATACTACTAATACTCCTTTTCCAAAGCTCTGTTGCTCAGCAGTCTTCATGTCAGTTCATATACTAGTATTTCATTACTAATATTAACTTTTAATATAATATAATATAATATAATATAATATGAAATAGCATTTTAGTATTATTGAAAATAATGTTTTTATCCACTATAGCTTCAAATACAAGTATTATTATAATACTAGTAATATTAATTTTTATTATAATATTCTATAATATAATATTAAATAATATGTTCTTATTATTTATTTATTTATTATTTAAATAATATATTATTTTTATTTTCATCTGCTACAGCTTCAATGCTTGCATTACTAATATAATATAATGCAATATAATTAATATTAAACTATATTTTTTATAATTTTTTATCATTATCATCAATGATAGATAGATAGATAGATAGATAGATAGATATCTGATCCACTACATCACACACGACCTGACATAAAAACAACCAACAGTTTAGTGCAAATCCTGCCCAGGACACTTTGAGTGTGAAGAAGGGTCTAATAGACATATGACATATAGTGACTGATTACCGGACGGTGTGGAAGCCAAAGGTTCACTACAGTGTGTTTAGCTTATAAAGAGTAAAATGGATTTTCGAAGGTCTGTTGGGAATGGATTACAGCAGGTCTGAAAATAGCAGGAATATGTTGATGTAGGTGCGAAATAAGCATAGTTAATGAATTGTGGCAGGTAAGGAATAAGGAATGGATTGCGGAAGGTAGGGGGAGTAACTGTAGGGAAAGGGCTGTGGTAGGAAAGGGCCACTGACTGTGGGCCCCTGGGTGTGTGTGTGGCGGGGGAGACAGACTCTGCCAACTGCACGATTCACTAAGCTCTCACCAGGGGAGAGAGATAGATAGTTTTAATGCGTATGTGTGAGTGAGAGAGAAGCGAGCGAAAGAGAGGGAAAAAAAATACAAATACAGAGAACCAAAATGTATATTCCATATTAAGTACGAGAATGGCTTTTGTACTCAATTGTGTATGTCGGCCTGATCTGCAGGTAGGAAGATGAATGAGTTTGCCTGCATAAATATATAGACCAGAGGCAACGGGAAGGAAGGACAATTATATAAATCTTAAATTATATAATATCGTCGAAGTGAGTGAGTTTATAAAGCCTAATCTTAAAACTCTGCTTTAGAGATATAATAGGTCTTATAGCGTTTGAGCGCTAGGCATATGCCCTGATATAACTGATCTAGAATTCATAAACTTTCAAACGGAGCATTAAAGCGATCACCTAAACTCTGGGAGGACTTCCGCGTCACACTTAAAGCGATCATATGTTAATCGGCATCCATAAATCATTCGGTGGCCATGAAGTCCTCTTGCTGGTGCCAAAGTCCCATTTCCCAACAGGACCACTCTAATTGATTTAAATGCTTCATCCTTGCGGCAACGCGACTATGCTCGCTTAGTAAGGGGTCTTTAACGTTATTATTATTACTACCGTGATTGCGGGTTTCTCCATTTCCTATTGTACGACGAGAGTAAGAATCTCTCGCCCAAAGCTGAACAAAATAATTATTAGCATCTTGGAACAAACAGACGAACCCCCCCACCCTCGCCTCGCGGCCCAGAGCCGACCCCCTCCTCGCGCGCTCATCTCCCCGTCTCCGTTTTTGCCACGTTCGGCCCTTAATTTATGCAAAATTAATTGATATATCTTTTATAATTGATGTGCTGTAAAATTAATGAGTAATTTATGTAATTAGTCAATTAAGGCTAATTCCAGCATATGCTCAATATGCCCAGAAGGTGCACTTTACAAGTTGTTATTTGTCCAGGAGTTGAATGCAGCGAAAGCCGTCTAATTAATTTTCTATGCATATCAGCGTGTTGTCTACTTAACACCGCGCTTTGTGGGAGCAGGTTTAATATTGATCTAAACAACACGGTGAGGAGGAACGGCAGCCTCGCAGGGGCCTTCCGGTGCCAAGCGCGCCGCGTGATTCGCGCGTCAAAGGCGCTTCTAAACACACGTTATTCGTCAGCGGTCCGGCGCTCGAGTTGCATTTCAAAAGACATTAAGCGCGGGACATAATGGCGCTGGGTGTGAAATATGCATGCGTCTCGTTCGCCGGTGACCCTTTAAACTAGAGGAACACCGGAGCTCTTCAGGAACATAATGAGAAAGATCTGTTGGCTAATTAATTGACACCGTTTTGAATATTCATCGCTAATATAACCACTACGCCTTTAATTATATTGTTGGACATCTCTCTCAGGAAGGTAAATCACTGAAGGCTTAATTAATGTAATGTATTCGCGACCCGCCGGGAACCGCGTAAGAGGGCGCCTGGCGGGACCGTGCCGTGACACCTGGCCGCGCAAGAGCGGCGGAGCTTTTGTTGTTCTGTTTACGGGAGAACCTGTTCTCGGGGGTTGTGGTTAGGAAGTGTTTATCCTTGTGAAATACGAGCAAAGTGCAAACAGCTTGACAGGTTGATTCTGACTCCGTTCAGCGCCGGTGAAAAACGGGCGCGCAGACGCGTGCGCTTCTGAACGACTTGTCACAAATATTTCACCTGAAATCACTCAAGAGTTGTGAAATAGTATGTAATTGTGGAAGCAACGTGTTTGTCTATTACTGGGGTCAAGTTTTCACATAAGGTATCCAGATGGATCATATTCAGGGAAGAAAAATTATGAATAGATGCTTTTATCCTTTTTGTGAAGATGTGGTTGTCCTGGTGTCTTCCCTTTCTCACCCTCTCATTCTCTGCTGTCTCTCTCCATCTTTCACAACGAGCTTTTCACTTTTTATTTTTAGCACAATTTGTTTTTAGCTTAAGGGGTGAGCAAAAAATTGTGAGCAAAAATGAGCTTAATAAGTTGTGAAATCTCTGATCTGCAGATCTGTCAGAAGACCTTAAAAGTTGCCTAGAGGACAATGTTGTGGTTCACAAAACTAACGAGTTAGGCTAACTAAATAAAAAGCCACATTTATCTCCGAAGCTTCTCATAATATTCTGTATGTTAATATTATGACTATCATATGAATGTCTTATTTCAAATTATAATTATAAATTATTTTATAAAAAAAAAAAAAAAAAGTGTGTGCAATTGTAAGATATAGCTTACTGGAAATGCAATGAAATCATTTCCCCCTAAATGTAAATCCCTGTTGCCTATTTCATTTTTATTTTAAACATCTTTAGAACAGAAGATAATGAGAAAACCTCACTGTGAATTGTTTTGTCTCATATATAACATAAAAAAATATTACATGTAATTTTTATGAGTCTATTTTTCATAGTTCATAACTATAAATTAAAATATATATCGATAATACAGAAGTGGTATAATGGCAGTCATTGACTTAAAGTTTATCAGCACATCTTCAGCAAGTGTGGTGTAATAAGACAGAGCACAGTGTTACTCACACGAACACAAATCACCATCAGGGTATACATACAAATAATGCTAGCAGTAACTAAACAGCATACAAATCAAACACTCCAATGTACAAAACTGATTAAAAAAAAATTGACTTTTTATAATGTAAGAAATAAATGTGGTGGTTTGCACAGGAAATAGAATGTCCTTTTCGCCATAAATATTTATTTAGGCTATACTCAATTATAGAACGGCTTTATTTACAATATTTTACATTTGAACAGTTTTACCGTGCATTGAGTGAAAATTAAACCAGTGTGAACAATGCAGGACAAATATGAACTATATTCCTGTTTGAATAAAGTCTAAACTTCAAAAAAAGTTCGATTTTCTGGAATTCGAGACATTTAAAACAATTCCAGTGCACTACAAAAACAGTATACGGATCATTCGCATTCACGTCATTAGTCTTGCAGTGTGTGTTATCATTATCAGACTCATTAGCGAGCGCGCTGCTCTTTGCTTCTGATTGGTACAGATGAGTAGGACTAAACGCATATGAAGTCAGACCCTCCCCCTATTTACCCCTTATTCGTCCTAAAGTCAGTGTCATCATAATAAAACGCAAATAGCGGGGGTCTGGACCTCTGCCATTCTTACAAAAGCGTCGCGGATCCTCTGTGAGTCAAAGCCGAGCGCGCGCATCCTCCGAGAGAACTTCCCGCGCCCTGAGAGGAGTAACATTAGACAGGTAACTTTCAAACGGTCCCGTTTTTTTTACATAGCCTACTTGTGGATTTTGAACTTTGTGAGATGTTTTCGTGACTAGCGTCGTATAAAGCATCTGTAAACATAAAAAACAAACAGCTGAAGTCAATCAAAATTAGGCTATTAGTGCGCTGAATGACTTTTTTATGTCAACGGAAGATATGCTGGCTTGCTTCTGACTGATCCTGAAGAGATTTTCAAAAATGCCTCGGCCAGGCAAGAACTCCTACAGTGACCAGAAACCTCCATACTCGTACATCTCTCTGACCGCCATGGCCATTCAAAGCTCCTCTGAGAAGATGCTCCCCCTCAGCGACATCTACAAATTCATCATGGACCGTTTCCCGTATTACCGCGAGAACACTCAACGCTGGCAGAACTCGCTCCGACACAACCTTTCCTTCAACGACTGCTTCATCAAGATCCCCCGGCGCCCCGACCAGCCGGGAAAGGGCAGCTTCTGGGCCCTGCATCCGGACTGTGGAGACATGTTCGAGAACGGCAGCTTCCTGCGCCGCCGCAAGCGCTTCAAGCTCCTCCGGGTGGAGCATTCGGCTTGCAAGAGCGGCCCCGTGCTGCACTCCTACCACTCTCATGCCCAGCATGCCTTGCACCAATCCCACCACCATTCGGGCAAGCTGGGCGTGGGACACCCGGAGTACCTGGGCACCATGGGGCGGCTCTCGCACTTCCAGAGCTACACGCTTGGCGGCGGGCAGAGCAGTAGCTTCAAACACCCGTTTGCCATCGAGAGCCTGATTGGCAGAGACTATAAAGGAGTGATGGCCAGTGGGTTGCCCATCGCCTCGGTCATGCATCACCTCGGGTATCCCGTGCCCGCTCAACTGGGCAGCATGGTCAACTCGGTGTGGCCACATGTGGGCATGCTGTCTGAGCCGGTGTCATCAGAATACCCACCGTTCAATGTGGCGGTCAAGGGGCTGTACCATCATCACCCAGGAACCCAAAGCATGCCTGCTGTGCCCGTGCCCATCAAACCCACACCAACCCTGGGCGCAGTCCCGTCCTTGACTGGCATGATGCCGGGAGTAACGCAGCTGTGCCCGAGAACAGCAGCGCTGATGGAGAGAGACGCAACAGCTCTTGTTGAGGAGAAAAGCGGGTCTCTCCATCCTGCTCTCCTGCAGTCCTGAGCCAACCGTTGAAGATTCAGACACGAGGGTACGTGGAGCATGTTTTGGGGACGGCTGTGGACTGATTTGAGATGCCAGCCTTTTCCGGAAGATCCTTTAAGAACTGTTTTTTTTTTTTTTTTGGCTGTGTGTTAAATTCTGCAGAGTGCAGATTGTCAGAATTGGGCTCTGCAGTTTTCAGCTTTATGGTATGTGAACATGTTTTAGCTTCTTTAAAAAAAAACAGTGTTCTGTACAAAGGACTATAAACTGGAAAAAGAAAAACATTGATGTACATTTTGTAAACCCTTAAACATTAAGCCTTATAAAAGCTACAAAGACTGTGTGTAATGAATTAAAAATGATGACTTGCATGCTTGTGTGCCACTGTTGAAACAGTGGATTGCTGTGCGTCCGGGAGAGAGTCATGAAATAACCCAAAGTGAATTTTTTGCTAAATTATTGTATTCATGTAACATAGAAAATACCTTTATGTTAAAATGTTGTTATATATTATCATAAATGTTATACATGTAAATAGGTGTAGAATATCATCACTTACAGCGTTTGAATTGCACTTGTGGTATTTACTAACACAACATTGAAAGATTTTACGAAGATGAAACAATCAAATAGACAATTATAGTGAATAAAAGCAGGCCTGGTTTAAGTGTGCTGTTTTAAAGTGGCATGTGAGTTTCAAAAAAAGCAGTATAATTGTATAAGATTTGTAAATTAAATATTTTTAGAGTAAAATCCCTTGCACTTTCTGTGCAGTGGAATGTCTTTATTTCTTTCTGACCGTCGTTTTCCTCACTGATTTGTTCATTTGTTTATACCAGAGTGACATTATATCTGTTAGTTCTCTAAGCTGAATTTGCTCTTATATATGGAAAATTAAAAGCATATATATGCATATACTGTATGTGTAAAATTATAGGCAGTAATATGAGAACATTCTTTAAAATATACTTAAATAAAAAGACTATTTTAATACAAAACAGCATTTTTATGAATAGAAAATAGTTGTTAAATAATCTTTACAGTGTGTTTTGACTGAATATTCTACTTTGTGAATTCTTTCATTTTGATCTGTTTCCTAACAGACAGTGGCTGAACATCCACAAGCATAAATAGCTTAATAGTAATGGTTTCGCTTCCCCACCATTTCTGAACATTAAGACAATTGTTGCTCCAAGGCACAGAGACGAAAGACTGAGTCTATTTGCCAAACTACAGAAAACATGGCGCTGTCCAGCAGAGGAGCAGTGACCTAATAATCCAGCCTGCTGTTGAGTGCTGCTTTATAAGTTTAGTGCTGTTCAGTTCACTGCTGGACTGAATTCATTTCCAGCCAACAGTATTTTATGTAGCTTTCTAATATAGCCAGGAATATATTTCAAGAGTATTGATGCTGCATGCGTACCTAACCTGACTTGAAAAAATACAACATATGCAAAAAACATTCTTCTGTCATGTATTATATTGACCTGATCTTCCATTTAAAGTATCAAACATGAAACTAAAACAATTTTAGAGAGAAAAAAAGTTCAGTTAAACCAAGTAGGCTATATGAACTTTCAAGAAGCAAACACATTTGTTTTATGTAGTTGAAAATGTCTATTCAGCTTAAGTGTAATCATGCGGTTCAACCTGGTGGCCTGTTTTTTTTTTTTCTTTTCCATTTTAATTCTCTGATAAAAGTGACACTTTCTTAACATTTTGCTGATTACACATGTAGATTTCATTAAATTATGTTGATACATGAATAAGGACGACTATAGGATCGATTAAATTATCAACTTAAATGTCAGTCTTAAAAAAAAAAATCGACAGATTTTCTTTGTTAAAAGGTTATTCTATGTGTGTGTGTTTGTCTGGGATGCTGTGCTTCATGTAAAGCGCCGGTCGAGACGGCCGCATGACTTCAAAAGCAGCCGTCTGATAAAGCTGTTTTGTCCTGCTCGTCTTGACATAAATTTCACCTTTGAAGTTGAGAAGCTGGTCCTCTTCAAAACACAAAAGCTGCCAGTTGGGAGGCCATTTAGAGTGTCACTGTTTAGCATGGCAAAGGCTCTCTTATACGTCTTGATTTGCGCGCTGTGGCACACGCTCACACCAGGAGTGAGCCGAACCTGCCCTCTGAACAAATAAGATGCACAAGTGGCTGCCTGATGTGAAAACTACACCCACATCGCATCTAGTCAATGAAAATGATCCGTCTCTCTCTCTTCATTACTCTCCGGATTCATTACTGTCTGACGGTAGCAATCTCAATTTCTTGGCATCTTAAACGACATCAAATTTGTCTTTTACCATAAGCAGCTACAGTGTAAATTTCAAACAAAATGTGACATTTTGCATATGTAAGTACCTGTTGAAAATGAAACATAGGCCAAGGGAAAAAAGCAAATATGTGACCATTTCTTATTGCAATTCCGATTACGCTGTGACTTTTCAATAAGAAGGATATGCTGATTTTTTTCAACCCTTGAGTCTTTTAAATATGGATTGTCAGGATGAATAGGAATGAGGTCATCGTCAAGTTGCTGGTCTGCGGCTTGTTGAGGGGCAGAATTTGATATGAGATATTATTGTTAATTACTCTGACTTCGTCAAATAGTTCTGAGAAAATGTATCACAGTCTTCACAAATATATGAAGCAGCACAACTGATTTTAACATTAATTATTATAAGAAATGTGTCTTGAGCAACAAATCAGCATATTAGAATGATTTCTGAAGGATCATGTGACACTGAAGGAGATATTATTGTTAATTACTCTGACTTCAGCAGGGGTGGAGGTGACACATTCATGCCCGTCTTAATGACTGCAAAGACCTCGTCTTCATAATGAAGAGTTTAATTCATGAAGCTTCTTGCCACCATGAGCCGGCAACAGCACAGCAACTTAGTGCAATTGTACAATTCTTTATAAATGTTATAATTAAGTGTGGATTAGTAATATTATAATAGATACATTGTCTTAATTCTTCATATCACATAATTGAACTGATAGATTCACTGTTTAATCTGTCTGTCTCTTGAAATGTTGATATCAGGGAAATTTTTACTGTTAAGTAGCATTAAAGACTGTTCAAATTTAGGTACGATGATGGAAATCAAACTCACTCAACAACAGCAAACTCAAATACCATTAGGTTTATATACATTATACTTATATTATACTTTTTGCTCAAAGGTTTGTGGCCAGAAATATATATAACAGTCTTCACAAATATATGAAGCAGCACAACTGATTTTAACATTAATTATTATAAGAAATGTGTCTTGAGCAACAAATCAGCATATTAGAATGATTTCTGAAGGATCATGTGACACTGAAGACCAGAGTAATGAAGCTGAAAATGTAATTGTTCATCACAGGAATAAATTACATTTTAAAATATATTCAAATAGAAAGCAGTTATTTTAAATTGTATTTTTTTTTCTTTTTGTGAGCATAAAAGTCTTCTTTCAAAAACATTACCAACCCCAGGCAGCTAAACGTACTTGTGCATTTTTCGAGGTGTTTAATTTAGTTAAATATTACAACTTTCAATGTTATATTGAATTTCTTGAAAATTTCATGATTTATTTAATCATTTATTTTTGCTACTTTTCAGATGCCTTCGTGTATTGAGTTTCTTGCTATTTCTATTTTTTTTATTTTTTTTGTATTTAATTAAAGACTTTCTTGAAGTATGAAATTTTATAATAAAAATACACTTTTTCATTTTTAATACTAAAAAAACTATGAGTGCATAAACTATTTTAGTATTTGTGTATTATTTTCCCCTTAAATTTCAACTGCCCCTTAGTTTGAGACCTTATTTCCACTGCAACCAACAATTTTAACACTAATTTAAATATTAATAAAATATTTTAATGTTAAAATCTATAGATGCAAACAGCATGTTAACTGTGATGACAGTGGAAATGACATTCAGATTCAGAAGCAATGACAAAATGACACATTTCTCTGGCGATGGATGAACATTGTTGGTAGACAAATTAAAACTGAGGGACGCATTCAAATGTATATCCTCGAGATGTTAAAGGACATCACACAGTAGTGTCTTGCTCCTCAGGTTGTGGTTCATGTGTGGCAGCTCTCAGGTGCTGGAGTTCAGTGGAAGCACATTGATTTGTTCTTTCAGGGCTGAGCTTCATTACTTGGCATGTGCCTTCTGCCTTTCCCCTTCAACACACCTCCAGCCATAAGTCAGCGGCTCATAATAAAAAGCTCATCTGCCGTGCATTAACAAAAGATGAGTAGAGGTCACCAGAGCTGTAGTGCTGATCACTAAATCTCTCTTTCTCAGTGATTCCCTAAGAATAGACAGCCGTGTTCGGACTGCCCCGCGGGCTAATTGAAATGGTTGGAGGTTGTCCTTTTAACAAGGATTGTTAGATGCAGCCAAGTCCCGTGTTAATGGTGCTCAATATAGCAGATTGTCTGCTACTTCCTCTGATTACCTCCATGAATTCTCAAGTGTTTCTAAGACCTTTATGAAGTTTTTAAGCTTTTCATAACTTTCAGCTGTCCTAAAAGAACTAGCTGTCATACTTTTACTCCAGTGACAATTTCTTAAGGTGTTTTATTTTTATGAATAAATGAATATATAAATGTTGTAATATTGTTATAATATAATAATAAATAGCAAAATTATATATTAGTAATAAATGAAGTGAATAAATGAATGTACACTTAAAATAAATTTTTTTTTTTAAATAAACTTTATTTTAAGGGGATGTCGTTAAATTTAATAATAATTATTATTAAATATTAATTCATTACATGTAATTTAGGGTTAAGGTTAGCGTTTGGCTTTGGTTTACTTGTAATTATGCATAATTTACTGTTGATACTATAAGTACATGTAACTATGTCATGTTAAAAATAAAGAGTTACCATAAATTTAAGTTCAAATCTGCCGTCATTTCATCAAGTTGACTTTTTCTCAAAATATGCGTGGTTTTACTGTATTGATTAATCTACAACTACAGCAAAAATATGA